AGACAGACAGACAGACAGGCAGGCAGACAGACAGACAGACAGACAGACAGACAGACAGATAGGTATAAAGGCAGACAGACAGACATATAGCAGACAGACGGACAGGCAGACAGATAGATAGATAGATAGATAGATGATAGGTAGTTTGACAGACAGACAGACAGACAGACAAACAGACAGATGGATGGATGGATGGATTGATAGATTGATAGATGATAGGTAGTTTGACAGACAGATATATAGACAGATAGGTATGCAGTAATATAACTATTAACTTTACATGTCTATCAAACTACCTATCATCAATCAATCAGTCTATCTATCTATCTATCTATCTGTCTGTCTGTCTGTCTGTCAGACTACCTATCATCTATCCATCTATTTACATTGTAACTCAAAAACTATATTATTATAATTAATCATTGCATACTGAATACTTTTATGCAGTAATACTAGGAATATGCTAGAAATATTAGGGAGTATACAGTACAGACACTAAAATAACTCCTTATCATGACTCGGGACTGGTTAAAGTGACATTATTTTCATGTTTTCATTAGTGGCCGCAGACAAGTTTAATTACACACGTTTGGGTGGTGAGACAGAGATCGAAGGCGTGGACGACTGCGCTGACATGGTAGAAACACGCAGAACTTTCAGTCTACTAGGTAACTGAAGCTTCTGGTTTATTTTTAGCATATTTATCAAGAGCAAAATCCTTCTGTTGTTCTTTCAGCTGTGTTGATGCAGCCTTGTTTCTCTTCAGGTCTTAAGGACAGTTTTCAGGCTGACGTGTTTAAGGTGCTCGCTGCGATTCTGCATTTGGGAAACGTGGTAATCAAGGAGAACGGCTCTGAGAAATCGTCCATCGGTGTAAGAAATATTCTTATCTGTGCAGTTTTAGGTGTTTTACATTGATAATTGACATTAGGCCAAATCAAGACTTTGAAGGTGTTTCATCGGAAGTTCATTCTGCTCTCTCTCCAGTCCAGAGACCCTCACTTGGCCATATTCTGTGAGCTGATGGGCATCAACATGGACAACATGAGCCGCTGGCTGTGTCACAGACGGATAGTCCTGTCAGCAGAGACGGTGGTGAAACCGCAGCCCAAGGAACGTGCCATCAACGCCCGTGATGCCCTTGCCAAACACATCTATGCCCATCTTTTCAACTGGGTCATCCACAAGATCAACCAGGCACTAATGATCCCTGGGAAACAACATTCATTTATTGGGGTGTTGGATATTTATGGGTATGTCAGCTTGAATTCATTTACATGTATATTTGCATGCAGGGCCTAAAATGAACACATGCCAAGCACCAAATGCAAGTAAAAATCGGCGATGGCGAATAAATGAAACAGTGTTACTCGCCAGTTGGACAGTCGCTTATTAATATTAATTATAAAAATGCCTGAGAACGTGATATGGTTTAGTGCAATTATCAAATTGCAAAAGCTGAATTGAAATGATATAAAAATGCAATCTGATGCGCTGCGATGTGAACTTTACACATGAGCCACTCATGATAACGGTGTTTTTCTGCCAAAATAAAAGCTCTATGCGTTTGAAAGCAAAGGAAAAAAAACAACTATGAAGTTTTATTACATATTATTTTAATTATTAGTAGTAGAAGTAGTACTAGTAGGAGTATATAAACTAAAACTTAGTTCAACAGTATTATAGCGATATTTCTATAGATTTGTTTAGTTTTTAATAATAATCTTTAAATACATTTAAATAAAAAATATGAACAATAATAGTAAAAATTCCTGTTTCTTCATTTTTTTCTGCCTGTGTTTTAAGGAAATAATGCACACACAGTTTAATGGCCGGTAAATTTTCTAAAGTACAAGCAGTAAAATGCTAGTTTTAGACCCTGTTTGCATGAGCGATAGAATTAAGGCCCTTTCACACCAAGAACGATAAACATATATGATAAGAAAGATAATGGCACAGAGGAACAATACTGTTGGAATCCCTTCCAGAACTCAAGTATTTAAAGCGGCAGATGACTAAACTGCACTGCGCTTATAATAAACAGAACATTATTGCACATTTGTGTGGACGCTAAAATAGTCATAGTTATCATTCTTGGTGTGAACGGGCTTTTAGTGTAGCATTTTTTCTAATGTTGAGCTGTCTTTTGGCTTCCTCTAGATTTGAGACCTTTGACGTGAACAGTTTCGAGCAGTTCTGCATCAACTACGCCAACGAGAAGCTGCAGCAGCAGTTCAACCTGGTGGGTTCATCTGTACCATCTTTCCATGAATTACATTTGATTTGTAGTGGAACTTATAAAAACATGTCTCTGATTATCATCCTATCAGCACGTGTTTAAACTGGAGCAGGAGGAGTACATGAAAGAGGATATTCCCTGGACGCTGATCGATTTCTATGACAATCAGCCCGTTATTGATCTCATTGAGGCTAAGATGGGCATTCTGGACCTTTTGGATGAGGAGTGTCTGGTGAGAATAACACTGTGGATAAAATATTCTGTCTTAACCTGCTTTTAACCGTGAAAGAAAGTGGTGGTTTATATTACTGTTGCAGCTTGCTGGGTAGCTCCGCCCACAATTAAATCTCATTGGTCCAAACTCGCACACCACACTGCTGAATATTAAGCATCAGATGTTTTCTGATTGGCTGTTATTTTTTACTGCGTCAAGGACAGAAAATGTACCTGGTTAGGACACAAATCATTTAGATGAATTGGTTTTAGGTTTTGGTGAGAAATAGTGAAATGTCTCCAGAGTTTCCACTTGATCTTCATTTAATCTCATTGCTCTCTCAAAGAGCTGAGATATTAAAAGGATCTCATTTGTGTGTGTGTTTTTTTTGTTTTTTTTTTGTTAGTTTGTTCACTCCAGATTGTCTCCTTTTATACTAACTTTAACTAACTGAAATAACATTTTAGGTTGAAATACTAAATTGCTAAAAAATAAATTAAAGTTAAATAGGAATATAAAAAACTAAGAAAAATGACAAAAGCACACAACAAAATTACTACAACTTAAACTAAAACTGAAAATTAACTAATTAAAAAATACGAACATAACACTGATATCTATAGTGACGGATTGCAGTTTTATAATTTTATGAAACCTGTCAAGAACATGTCCAGGTCAAATTTTGCTTCAAAATCAAAAGGAAGAAATAAGATATTATATTTTGCTTAAAGAAACCCATATTTAGGATCATTATGATTATTTTTTGCACTAAATGAATCGTTTTTGATCTCCCACAGTTCCTTCAGGGCACTGATAAAAACTGGCTGCAAAAGCTGTACAATTTTCTAGGCTCAAAGCCGCTGTTTGAGAAACCCCGAATGTCTAATGACTCTTTTGTGATTCAGCATTTTGCTGATAAGGTGAGAGACTATTACCTCCCTATATTGTCTTAAAAACTGAAAATGGTGCATGAAGAACTAAAACTGTTTTTTTTTTTTAGGTAGAATACCAGTGTAAAGGTTTTTTGGAGAAGAACAGAGACACACTTTATGAAGAGCTGGTGGACATCATGCGTGCTAGTCAGGTATCAACCTAATAGCTCCCTTTATGTTTAATGAAGTTTAAAGGGGTCCTATTATGCTCTTTTACAAAGTCTTGATTTTGTTTTGGGTGAGTACTAGAACAGGCTCTCATACTAGCTTGTTCGAAAAACACATTATTTTTCACATATTTTACATTATTACAACACCTCTCTTCCCAGTCTGGCATGAACGGCTCGAATAGTTCCTGTATCAAATGAAGGCCCGCCTTCTGAAATACGAAATGTGCTGTGATTGGTTAGCTGGTCCAGTGTGTGTTGTGATCGGTTGTGATTGGCAGCACTCGGCGCCTGGTCGGGAAATGTCATGCCCCTTACCATAGCCACCTGCTAGCTTCGGTGTAAATATTGCGTCAAAATCAAATCAATTGGAGCGCGATTTAAACCCGGATGATTGTAACCACTCTAAGTTCGTCTGCCTTGGGAAAGCTAGCGTGTCTCCGACATAGTGATAACACTCGTTGCCTTCTCTAGTGCAGCTCAACCAGGTCTCGTCCCATTCCTCGATCTTTGTGATATCACAAATCCCGGAAAATATGCGTTGTAGTCCAAACGAGTCGTTGGTTGTAGTTTTTGAAAAGTGATTTCTGTTAAATTAAATATCTCCTTTTGAAGTGGACTTTGAACTTTGTAACTTTGCAGATCTTTTTTGCCCAAACAGCAACATTACAGACTAACTAAAGTTGAAAAAGTGAAAAAGCATAATAGGACCCCTTTAATGCCATTATAATGTTGTTTTATCTCATTTCTGTGTTGTTAGTTTGCTCTCTTGGCGAATTTTTTTAAAGAGGAGGAACCAAATTCTAGCCATAAAATGATCAAGGTGACACCGGCACATCCCAGAGTCAAAGCTTCAAACAAGCAGCTGAGAACCACTGTAGGAGACAAGGTACAAAATCACAGACAATATTAGTGATAATTATCATGCTTGGCTGATTAACTAATTTTGAAAGATTATACGTTTTATCTAGTTTCGAAGTTCCTTGTACCTGTTAATGGAGACTCTGAATGCTACTACACCTCATTATGTGCGCTGTATTAAACCCAATGAGGAGAAACTGCCATTTGAGTAAGTGACAAAAAGCCAGAATTATTTTATTTGTGTCTTTTTGTGTACAGTGTATTTATTTGTGTGTGTTGCGTGTGTGTTTGCTCAGGTACGATTCAAAGCGTGTGGTGCAGCAGCTGAGGGCCTGTGGTGTGCTGGAGACCATCCGTATCAGTGCCCAGAGTTACCCGTCCAGGTGATCGGAACTCTCCGTGCACCATCAAAACATCACTATGTGGCCTTTTTAACTTCATTTTGAACAGTTCTGTGAAGGCTCTGTGACTTTCATACAGATATCACATGACTGAATGACACAAAACACAGAAATATACAGGAAGGCATATCTATAGTGAATTATCTGTGAAGGATATTAGTGTGTCTGTTAACTAAAACTAAAATTAGTCAAATTTAGTTGAAATAAATCTTAAATAAAATATAAAAATTAAAAGAAGAAGTTAGAAACCTTATGAAAATTTTAAATGTTGCCTTGGCAACTAACTGAAAGTTAAAGTTTTAGTTTGAAGTACTAAATTACTAGAACAAATACAAATAAATTAAAGCTAAATAGAAATATAAAAAAATGAATAAAAATGACAAAATAACATGTCCAGGTCATATTTTACTTTAAAATCACAAGATATTATATTTTGCTGAAAGAAAACCCTATATTTAGGATAATTAAGAAACCCTATAATTAGTATCATTATGATTATTTTTGCATCGTGATCATTTTTATTTAATACATTTATTTTATTTACAATTTTGAAAATCACTATAATGTAAAAAAAATCATCACTGTAAATGACAGAAACTATTCATGTAGTATTTTTTAAAAATCATTGTATCATCTGTTTAATTATCATACATTTCCTCATGCACAATGTAATTTCTTGTTTTTTATCTCATGATTTTTTATCTACTTTTTTCACCTAGACATGATTTTGTGAGAATTATTAATGTTTTTATTTTTTTTTAAATTGTGGACAATTCAACAAAAATCTCAAGAAACACTGGAGTAATCAAAAACACATCAGAAAATCCAACCAACCCAGGTTGAAATGGCCACAGATGTCCAGATTAGTGATGTTTCCTTGTCATCACTAATTTGTACAGTTCTCATCGTCTCTGTCCATCTTCACAGATGGACGTATATAGAGTTTTACAGCCGTTACAGTATATTGATGAGCCAGTCGGAGCTGAAGCTGGGAGAGAAGAAGCAGACATGCAAGACAGTTCTGCAGAGACTCATTCCTGTAAGAGAAACGCACTGTGCTATATCTGAGAGCTTGTGTTCTTCAGCCATGCACTGAAAAAAAGTCCTCCATGGTCCATTACAGGATTCCAACCAGTACAAGTTCGGTCGGAGTAAGATCTTCTTCCGGGCGGGACAGGTGGCGTACCTAGAGAAGCTGCGTTTGGATCATCTTCGTGCGGCTTGCGTGAGCATCCAGAAGCACGTGAGGGGCTGGAGGCAGAGACGCAGGTTCCTGCACATGAGACAAGCTGCCATCACTATCCAACAGTACGTGCGTGGAAAGAAACAGATCAGGTGAGTGTTTCCAGAGCACTAGCAATCCAAAACTCAAATATTTCTTGATCAAAAATACAGTAATATTGTTAAACATTATTACAATTAAAAATTGCAGTTTTCAATTGTAATATGTTGTAAAATGTCATTTATTCCTTCGATGTAAAGCTGAATTTTCAGCATCATTATTCCAGTCTTCAGTGTCGCATGATCCTTCAGAAATTATTCTGATATGCTGATTTAAGAAACATTTCTGATTATTATTAACGTTGAAAACAGTTGTGCTGCTTCATATTTTTGTGGAAACCGTGATACATTTTTTAGGATTCTTTGAAAAATAGAAAGTTCAAAAGAACAGCATTTATTTAAATAGAAATGTTTAGTAACATTATACATTTCTTTATTGTCACTTTTTGATCATTTTAATGCATCCTTGCAGAATAAAAGTAAAAAAAAAAGAAAAGAAATACTGTCCCCAAAACTTTTGAGCGATCGTGTACACAGATAGGGTGTGTTCAAAAAATTGTAGAAATTAGCATTAGCACAACAGAATAAAGCAGAATACAGCGATCTTGAGCATTTTTAAAAGGTAAAACCCCCATGTTCCTGTCCTCCCTCAAATACAAAACATGTTAAGCAACCCAAACTCCAAAAACGACAAGCGGGCACCATAAAAGTAGTCCATAAAACTTATATTGAACTTTAAACTGTCATTCACTCATTCCAGTGTTATTTTAGTATCATTGAGATGCTTTTATAGTTTTTATTAATATTTTGAATTAGTTTTAACTTTTATATTTTCCATTTTCATTTTAATTTTAGTTCAGGTTTTAGTAATTTTGTTGTGTGTTTTCGCCATTTTTATTTTTTTTTAATGAGTTTTTAAAAATTAATTTTTATTTAAGTTTGAGCTATTTTAGTACATCAGGTTTAACTAAACGTTACTTGGCAACTAAATAAAAAATAAGTATGTTTTTTAAAATTCTATTTCAGCTAAAGTTTATTTTAATTCATGTTACAAAAAAACAATAACCCTGACAGTTAGGGATGCGTCACGTCAAGTTTGTCATTTTTGTCATTAAATTGTAATGTAGACACATGCATTTTCTCATTTGAAAATATGAGTGTTTGGTTACATTTCAAGATAAAATGATACCAAGACAAGGTTTATGTTGACTAAATGCTAAGTCTTCACTTATAAAATGTAAAATTGAATTAAATAATTCCTATAATTGATTTTAATTTTAATTTAAATATGATTTAATTTAAATTTAGTAGTAATTCTAGGTATATATATATATATATATATATATATTAGTGCTGTCAGTCTATTAAAAAATTAACTAATTAATCACACCTTTTTTTCTTAAATTAATCACGATTAATCCCACCTAACATTAAAGTTTTAAAATATACTTTTATATTGCAATAATTTCACATGCAATCTTCAAATTAATGTAGAAACAACATAAAGACAGTATATTTTTTCATATTTGTTTAGTGGCATCTAGTATCACTAGAGTATCACTGCTACCAATGCTACTGATGTCTCTATGAAATAGTTTTTTCCCCTAATATTTAAACATTGACTATAGCCATTCAACATTACAGTATAATGAGAGCTATCAATTTGAACATTTATTAGAGTTTAAAAAATAACCACTTCTAATTTAAGTGAACTTGAAACAGTCTTCACATGAACCCATTATAATGAATGTCATATTTAGCTGCCTGTGCCCTTCAGCAAGTAGGACATATACAGAAATGGAATAAAGTTATCAAACACTAAATTCAAAATTTAATATAGATGAATCCTTAAAGATACAAAAGTGATTGATTTCCTCTCTTTTCTTTTGTTCTTTGATGAACAGACATCACAGCAGCTGGTTTTTAGGTTATTTTGGCTGCTTTAAGAGCTGCCGCTGCTGAAAATGACGCGGATCTGACACGCATCGCATTTTCTCACAACTCTTTACCTTTTCTGACCCACTTCAGGTCTTAAAGTCTCTGTTATGAGCTGAGGAGTTGAATCGGGTGTGTTAAATGAGGGAGACAGTTTTGAAAACCACTGCATTTCAGAGACATGTTTTTAAATGTGACTCATGTATAACAGATACTTACATGCATGCACAGTTTTTAGGGAGCTTTAATTGCCTTTTTTGGTAATTTCATGACTTAACTGCAGACGTGCATGGTCATGGTTTCTTTTGCGCTTTAACATGAAGTGATATACAGCATGCCAGCACATTTGTGCAGTGAGAGCACGTGCTACGAGCACAGTATACCGCCTGACAGGACAGGAAAATTGGTTTTTACTGAGATATGGCCTGACAACATCACATCTGACCGCAGTTCACTGTTGTTCTACTGAAGTCATAGGTTTGATTTCCAAGTAAAACGCATACTGATAATTGTTAAAATAGAATATAAACATTAGATTAAAACATTAAAGGGGTCATATGACGTTGCTAAAAAAGAACATTATAGTGTGTATTTGGTGTAATGCAATGTGTTTTGCAGTTTAAGGTTCAAAAAACACATTATTTTCCACATACTGTACATTATTGTTTCTCCTCTATGCCCTGCCTTTTTGAAACGCGTCGATTTTTACAAAGCTCATCGGTCTGAAAAGCGAGGTGTGCTCTGATTGGCCAGCTATCC